ACACACACACATCCCTCACGAGCCTAGTCACGCGCCGAGACCGGGTTTCGACGCCTGGGAATGAGCTTCTCTGACCCTAAGACGAGGCAATTTAATGACCTTTTTTTAGAATTTTGGGCTAAAATGGCAAAATATAAACTGTCTAAAAGATGGATAAGTTGTGTTTATGATGGGTAATGTCATGGTGTTTGTTGTGGCGGATAAAAATGTGATTAATCAGGGCTTGTCCTCAACGAGGCCATGCCAAAAGCTTATAGTGGCGCCTCAAATGCTTCCTAAAATGACATCACTAAGGAATGACAATCACTCTGCCCACACTGGACTTGAAAATTTGGTGTACGAAACGTCCACTTTGTTTAAAACAGTAAAAATGTCGGTATTGATGTGACTTTTAAGCATTGACGTTGTCAAGGCTTGTAGAAGTGGTCAAATGACAAACTTAGACACGATCAACTTTGGCTTGTCTCGAATTCGCCTCATTGTGGCCTTAACAAATGCTGTTCATGGCTTTCACTCCTCGCGTAGAACGAGTTTGGTTAGCTCAATAAGTTGTTAACATTTTGAGCAATCGAATGCGCAAAAGTGAGTTAAAAACAGGTTTGACATCCTAAAGTTATGCAACCAGCATAAGAATGATTGAAACTTTGACATTTGCGCCACCTTTGGATGGTACAATTCCCTTCAACATTAAGAATGAAATTGATAATGCAGTAATTGGCCGTAGGAATTGTTTGAGTCCGAGGGGCTAGAAGACAGACAAAAAGGTATTTGTTTAGATCTTGTTTGGCTAATTCTTCCTCGTTAAACCTTTAATACACGATTTGATATCCATGTTGACCGGTCCGCGTGGTGATTGGAATGATTGCTCTTTCACAGTCCAATTGAAGGCCCCACTTTATGAGCTCCTATGATGGGACAAAGTTTTCCTTTAGACCTACATTTACGATCACCACAAACAATTGGACTGGTTGAGTGCCACGGTGCACACATCCGCCTTCCTATGCCATTGGGAGCATTTTTATCAGCGCTGCATTGTACAAAATGCTCATTATTATTTTTTTCTGTAAGACCGACCGTCACTTCACCGAAGTGGCATTGCCTACAGAAAAAAAATGAGTAACTTAAGCAAGCATGCAAGCAATAGACAGAGAGCATGAAAAATAAATGCTCACAGATGAGTCAGCTTTGCACTGACGATGGCAGCAATGGCTATGACAATGCGACTTTGGTAAAGCAAACAGGCGTTCTATTTGTAGTCCCATCACGGCAGTCACTTATTGGCTAAAACTTACATGAAGAGGATTTATAAAGGGTCATATAAGGGTGTCAGTAACTCTAAAAGAACAAATTGAAGTATTAAAAATCGGTAGTACAATAATTAGGCGAAGTCTTTTTGCACGGATTGATGACAGCACATCGTCGTCTACCACGTCACCGGCGTCATAGGTTTCGACCTTGAGGGTATCAATTGAAAACACATACGAAAAAGGAGAGTGGACTTATCAGCCAATTTTGTTAACTATTTAACTAATCACTCCGTCAATGAGGCCTTTGTATGTCTCGGTTTCGCTTGGTCACCAGCAGAGCTTTGACAGGAATGCGGCAAACTACTGTTGGAATGTCCATAAGAGTGAGCCACCTGGATAAAGCGGATAAAGTTAACCAAGCCGACCCAGATAGTGGAGTGGTGCAAGGATATTAAAACATAGGACAGATTTAGTTGTTAGCTTGTTTGTTCATATGTATCGTATTGCAGGCTGAACAAAATAAAGACCAAACTTTAGGCGGGTGGAAGGTACTACAGGAAAACGACAGAGAGGCACAAACGGCCCCTGGAAAATGGTGATTATCATGAAGTTGAAATTGGGACAGTTAACCTGTTTGTGCGAGCAGATTCGAAAAAGCCAAAAATAATATTTTTAGCACAAGGATGTACAAAAAAGCAAGACACTTGCAAAATATTTCCTCCTTGAATACCTGTAGGGCTGGCGATCACTTTGGAGTTTATCTTGTTCCTTGCTGCGTAGGCTGGTCTGAAAGGCAAGACTAGGACAAATAGCTCCGTTTTATCCTCAAATACATGTTTTCAGGCTTTCCAATGACTCCTGATGCCTTACGGGAAATCTCGAAAATATACACTCATCGCAGTGAAAAGCCAACTCTGCTCGACTTCACTTCTTCATTCTCCACGTCTCTACCCTTCGTCACACACTTCTGCCCACCACACGCAGAGCCACACTGCAAGGGACGCCAGATTCCTCAACTTCTCCACCACGGAGAGGTTGAGATCGACGTCTGTGCTTGGCATCCGCCACTCTCCCATCTTCCACAGACAAGCTGTCAACTAACCCAACGATACCACTGTTCACATTGCTTGCATTTGCGTGTGTCGACGATGACACTGCATTGCGCGACCCTCCACACAGGACTGTGCTCGATTCGCATTCCCCTGATACGCGTTATGTTTTGAACCAATACTCCAGCGTCTCGTCGCCGACACATTTGATGGTGAGCAGAAGTTCCGCC